ATTGAAAATCTGATATCAGATTCGTAATCAGCGACCCCAAAAACCCACGAGTAACAATTTTCAAGAAAATTGGATCTATATTCAAAAAAGTCGTCCGCCATATTTTTTTTTTAAAAATAAATTTGCGTAGAGTTGAACATTGTACAATTTAATTGTGTACAATTTAAGAAATAATTTGTCTGATGTTTAACGTTGCGTGGATATTAACTATGTAGAATTTAACAAAATTAATTTTTAATTGCGAAATAAATTTGTGTAGAATTTTACATTGTAGCATTTAATTATGTAGAATTTAAAAACTAAATTGTTTAGAGTTTAACAATGTGCAATTTAGCTGTGTAGAGTTCAATAAATTTTATATTTTTTTAAAATTAAATTTTGTGAAGAGTTTAAAGGTGTGGAATTTATCTGTGTAGAATTCAACAAAATTAATTTTTCATTTACAAAATAAATTTGTGTAGAATTTAACAGTATAGAGTTAAACAGAGTAGAATTTAACAAAATTAATTTTTCACTAAAGAATAAATTGGTGCAGAGTTTAACATTGTACGATTGAAATGTATAGAATTTAAAAAATACATTGTATATGGTTTAACGGTGTGCAATTTAACTGTGCAGAATTAAACAAAACTTATTTTTTGTTATAAAATAAATTTGCGTAGAGTTTAACATTGTACAATTTAATTGTGTACAATTAAAAAATAATTTGTGTATGGTTTAACAGTGTGGAAATTAACTATGTAGAATTTAACGAAATTAATTTTTAATTGCGAAATATATTTGTGTAGAATTTTACATTGTAGCATTTAATTGTGTAGAATTTAAAAACTAAATCGTTTAGAGTTTAGCAATGTGCAATTTAACGGGGTACAGTTTAATAAATTTTTATTTTTTTTAAATTAAATTTTGTGAAGAGTTTAACGGTGTGTAATTTAATTCTGTAGAATTTAATAAAATTAATTTTATATTATAAGATTAGTGTGTGTAGAGTTTAAGTGTGTTTAATTTAACTGTGAAGAGTTCAACAAATTTTATTTTCTATTATAAAATAAATTTGTGGACAGTTTAACGGTGAACAATTTAAATGTGTAGAATTTTATGCAATTAATTTTTAATTAGAAAATAAATCTGTGTAGAATTTAACGATGTGGAATTTAACTGTGCAGAATTTAAAAAATAAATTGTTTAGTATTTAACAGTGAGCAATTTAACTGTGTAGAATTTAATCATTTTTATTTTCTATTATAAAATCATTATGTGAAGAGTTTGGCGGTGTGCAATTTAAAGGTGTAGAATTTATTAAAATTAATTTTATGTTATAATATTAGTTTTTGTAGAGTTTAACAATATGCAACTTAACTGTGTAGAGTTAAACAAATTTTATTTTATAATACAAAATAAATTTATTGAGAGTTTAACGGTGAACAATTTAACTGTGTAGAATTTTATGCAATTAATTTTTCATTACAAAATAAATATGTGTAGAATTTAACAATGTGGAATTTAACTGTGTTAAATTTAAGAAAATTAATTTTTTATTACAAAAGAAATATATGTAGAGTTTAACGTTGTGGTATTTAACCGTGTTGAATTTAAAGAAATTAATTTTTCACTACAAAATAAATTTGTGTAGAGTTTAACATTGTACACATTAAGTGTGTAGAATTTAAAAAATAAATTGTATAAGGTTTAACGGTGTGCAATTTAACTGTGTAGAGTTTGACGTGTAGGGTTTTAACGATGTAGAATTTAATTGTGTAGTATTTGAACCGCCCCTTTTCTAGTAAATAGTTTATTGTGTAGGGTTTTTCGATGTAGTATTTAATTGTGAAGAATATATTTTTATTTAATTTTGTTAAGAATTGACTCGTGTACAGTTAGGGGTGCAGTATTTTTTTGTTTAGAGTTTATTGGTGTTGAATTCGTACCGCCCCGAATTTAATAAATGAACTATTATTAATAAATGGTTGATTTTTGCATTTTTTTTGTTAAATTAAGTTGCAATTATTAAATTATCAATATTTAAAGTGAACAATGTTTGTCATTGAGTTTCACAGTGTCAGACTTTTCATTATTTTTAACAGTGAAAAAGTCTTTAAATTGATAAAAAACTGTAAGAAATTATTCGAACACTTTACGAACCATATATGCAAGGTAAAAAAATTAAAAAATTTTAAAAAATGGGGGTAATGACCCCAATAAACTTTCTGCGTGTCTTGAACTGAATTTTTTCGGTGTTTTCTAAATTTTTTTTATCTTGCGCATATAAGTCTTAAAGTTTATAATCTAAGCTTTAATTTAAGCCTATGTAGAAGTCTATCACATCAGGTTAAGGAGAAAAAAATACTGAAAACCTTCAAAAACACGGCTTTAGGAGTGTTTACCCCCACTTTACTCAACATCTTGACGTGATACGGAATTTTGGAACCCCGGAACGTGTTCAACACACAAAAAAACATTGGAAACCACTTAGTCCGGAAGGCAGTGACAGATTTAGGTCGGTCATTTCCTCCTGGCCGATAATTTGTGAAATAATTGTTGCAGTTGTGTCATGAAGCTACGTATTTGTCAGCTGCGCTACCAGCGGTGGGTTGGGGAGCTACACCTCCTCCCCAAATACGTAAAAAAAAGTATTTTCAGTCATTTTCTCCCGACTGATACATTGTTAGATGATAGTTCACATCATAATGTAAACAAATAAAAACGCCAACTGGCTGTACAGTGGTGGATTATACTTCAACCAGTCACCCGAACATGTAAAAAAATATTTTTTCAGTGATTTCGTCTCACTTGAAATTTATCCAGTTAATAGTGCTTTTAGAACCATTTTTTTGCGTTTTAGAATCAGTTTTTAGAACCAAGAATTCTACACTCGCGTTGAATTACATTAGTAATCGCAGTGTGGATTCGACCAAAAATCAACGCAAGTGATCTTGTATTGACCAATAGGCTATCCTGTAATTTGCTGCCCGCTTTAATGTTGAAGCGATAATTTAAGTTTTAACCAGTTGGATGAGTTTTATTATGTATTATTTTATTTAAAAATTTTACTGTTTCTTGTTGTAAAATTGAAGTGTAAAATCTGAAGGAATAAATATGTTAATTTAAAGCTACTACCTTACTTAATATTCTTTTAATTGCAAGATAAACCGTAGGAGAGGGATAGTCGATCCCATATTATTTAAACCGATTATTGTTCTCAACTTTGACTTTCGGGCTATTTGTGCTTCGAAAAGGGAAATTTAATTAAATAATTTTCTAAACATAACAAATAGATGATCATAATTCTAAAACGCACTAAAACACTGGCACATTGAATAGTGCACGTGAGGATTCCGGCATGTACAGCATAATGCAATTAAATAAATTTATCACACAAAAATGCAGGTAAATAACAAATTTTAATTGTACTGAATTCAAGGCAAAAAATTCCAACACTCGGCGAAATTTGAAGATTTAAAATCGACCTTTCAAAGACATCGGATTTTAAAAAGTCAATAATAGAACAATAGATTCATATTCCTTCAATGAATTTACCCCATTCGTATCACATTAGCACATATTTAGAATCAGTTAATCGCGTTCCATTAGAGTGTCTTATCTAATTTCTTTCTTCCATTTTCGATCCTTATCTGTTATCTCGCTCGCTTTTCTTTCTTCAATATGACTCATGTCGATATAGTCATAGTATTTACATAAATTAACTGCGATTTTCCCCCTACCAAGATCTTCTAGCCAGCACCAGATCTGGGTCTAGCTTGACTTTCCAGACCAGCATCGCTAGATACAGCGTAGAAAATACAAAATAAAATTTTTTAGTTATCTAGACATTCAATCTAGCACCAGATCTGGGCCTGACTAGACTTTTCAGACCACCGACGCTAATCAGGGTCTGACTAGTGGCTGAGTAGCACCAGAACTGCGCTAAGCCAGACTCATCAGACTAGCGATGCTAGACGCTTTCTAGCTTGCACCAGGCTTGAGTCTAGACGTTCCAGAAGATGTTTCTACACGGGATGCGATAGTCTATCCTGGACTGACTATCGTTTCTTTTACCCCTCGTTCACCCTGTCGATATTTTGAGCTATTAATGTTAATAAGTTCGTTTTTCATTGTCTTCAGGACTCGAACACTGATTCCAGTCTATGGAATTAAAATTACGAAAGGCACTAACGCGTGAGTCACGCGAAATGAAAAGTGGAAAATTGTAACAAATAACGTATGTGAATAAGTGATAAGTCTAATACCTAGCGCCCGACGCGCACTGTTCATTGTGGCAGCTGACGATTTTTCCACCCACATACAGCCAACTGATGTTTTTATTTGTTTACATTATGATGTGAACTATCATCTGACAAAGTATCAGTAGGGAGGAAATGATTGAAAATAATTTTTTTACGTTTTTTGGGGGATTGTAGCTCCCCAATCCACTGCTGGTAGCGCAGCTGACGGTCATGTAGCTTCATGACACAACTGCAACAATTATTTCACAAATTATCGGCCGGGAGAAAATGACCGACCTAAATCTGACGCTGGCTCCCTGACAACTCTGATAACTCAAAAAAAGTCTTGTATTCAGCGATCCCCAAAACCCCCAAGTAATAAGTAATGAAAAGTCCTAAAATGACAAAGATCTTTGTTATTCCCAAATATGGAGTTAATTCTCTCCATTTGTCCCTCCCTTTACTTTAAAGCCTTATATCTTTGGCTCAAATTGATGAAATTCAGTCAATTTTTTTAATCGATATGAAATCTTCTGAGAAATATGAAAAATTTAGTTTTCTTGATATAAAATTATTTAAGACAAAATTTTTTAATTAAACAATGACATGTTTTTAAAGAAAAGCCTCAATTTTTAAAAAACACATGGGCGATTTGTACTAAGTGTGTACTTTAACGGTTATTACTAGAGGTAGATAATTATAGAATATAATATTATATAATTAAATTATAAAATATAATTAATATAATGTTAAATAATATATTATATTGTTTGTCAGAAGAAACTGATTCGAGTGCTGAACGATATCGAGAAAGTGATAGAAGTAGTAATCTATCAGATGTTAAAGCGGATATAAGAGCTGGATCAAGTGTTAGTAATGCAGAAAGTGTCATAGCTCTCGATAGTGAAGGAGAAGGAAGTACAAGAGGTATCAATGCTCTCGCTTTAGCTGGACCAGTTGCAACTCCAATCGCAAATTATCGCTACAGTGCAGATTACACTGAACCAACTTTTCCACCTAAGAATAATGTAAGTATATTTTATTATTTCTATTGGAAAGAGTATCAAGCCTTTTTTTCTTAAACATAACTTCGGATTTTAAACTGGAAATGATTGTTTTTTTGTGAATATTTTCGTTTGAAGTGCAGTTTGTGTTATAGAGTAAATTTATTTATTTTTGCCAATTTTTTTTGTGACAATTTTTTGCTTGTACGTCAACAAAACGATTTGAAATGTAAAAACAAAAAATTGTCTTTAGAAACGGAAGATGAAATGAATGATCGTCATTAATATTTTATCTAACAGAATCTCCACACTGGGATGACAATTATATCAGTTCGAATTAATTCCATATCGATTTCCAAAATTATATCCTGTGTAACTAATCTTTGACGCAAAAATAAAGCCAATTGACACTTTGGAACAGTAGAGATAGTCATACTTGAACTAATAAATATTAATAAGTAATCTGCTTATCTTTGATACTAGGAAGAAACTAACAGTGTTAAAAGCACCCTTATTATCAATAACCAAACTGCTTCCGGACTTATTCGTAATTAGTCCGAAACAGTCCGATCTATGGTCAACTTTTTGTCACCTGGAATTGGTCTGGTTAAGTTCAAAGTTTGTCTGGTTTTTACTGGCAACATTGGCCGGAATAGTTTAGGACTTAACAGAAGTAATTTCGTATTCACTAGTTGTGTATAGTCAAATTAATTTCGGATTAGACTGGATTAATTATTCCTATTAACTATAATTGTTACTCACCGGGATAAATTCGGGATTTATTTAACATGCTTGTCTATGTTTCCTTAACTTCGCTCATCACTTAATTAATTCTAGTACCAGAATTGATGTGATGATTGTCGACGATTATGACCTCTTCTGGATCAATGACTACAGCCGCGAGCTTCATTCCTCGCCGGTTGGGTCCTGGGACTGTCACCTATTTGCTTATTAAGTATTTTTTCCAAAGCTTCCTCAACAAGAAGCTGCAGCTTCAGGGACTCTGTTGTCCTTACTTCTTTATTCTACGGAGGTGAATCCTCCTTCTTATTCTTTTGACCCTTCGCCATCTCTGGGCTACGAGGGCTCCTTTCCCTTTTCTTGGCTTCGTGGACTGCGTGTCTCGATTGTCTCCGAGTATATTTCCGAATGTATCATGCTAACAGTACTTATGCTGCTTATGTTAACACTGAGAAGGCTCGTTATACTTTCAGTCCTTCTTAAACCTTTCACGATAATCTAAGCATCCAAGCCATGGTCACAACAATAGAAATTTATTTTAAACCGTTTTAAAATAAACTGCTATTGTTGCATTTTTTTCTTTTTACAAAGTATTCCTTTCAGGTTAAGAACATTATAATTTCTTAATACGTAAACTTAATTCTTTTTAGGGTTCCGTACTCGGTTCGGAACCCTATTAATATCAGTTTTTTTAAATCGTGGACCCCCCTCCTAGCGGTCACACGAATTTATCTGGAGGGCTGAAATTGATATATTTTAACGTATTTTTACGTGTTGTAACGAACTTCGCGAGACTTTAAATGAGCAGCTGCGGGCAATTAATCCGTGACGAGTCCATCCAGATGAGGAATAAAAATCGATTGATTACATTGAACAAACAAAACATTTAATAAAATGAAATGCGAGTATACAACAATTGACAAAGATGCGACGCAGCGCATCGATTACGCGCGGAAAATCGTGACGGAAGGTGCTTCTACGGTAAGAAGTCTCGCTTCTCTCTAATGAGAGGACCGACCGCGATCGTCATCGTGACCCATGACATCCTTCGTATATGTCACGATGACACCCGAATATATGATTCGGTTAACGACCGATCACTGTCGTAGGCTTGAGGCTTACGGCTGGCGCGAGAAATTAGGAAGTAGGGAAACAGCCGGGAACGGCATATTTATCCGAGGCCGTGGCGTGGCGTTCCTGCAAATCAAATGTTGAACGTCCGCCCTCATACCTTTCGTGTGAGCCAGAAAATTGAGAATGCGTCCTAAAACCGATCGATTCAACAGTGATGTTCCAAATGATAATGGTAAAGGATGATGTCATATGTTCTATTTGCAACTGTTATTGCCTGAGGAGGTTTGCTTAAGATTTTTTCAGGATCAATCTCACCGCTGCTAACAATAACAACCCTGTGTAGTATGTGTCAATATGCATCCTAAAAATTCCGAGTGTGTTTAATTATGACGTCCCGACTGACAATGATAAAGGATGAAGTAGTTCCGAGTTTTTCGGAAGTGACTACTTTCGGTTGGTCATAACATGTATGTGGCACATGTAGTCGTATTTATAAACGGTAATCTGCCGCTGGTATGGTCTCCGCTTTCCCGGATTCCGGACAGAGGTACTTATACCTAAGTCTAATAGTACCACGGAACGCGTCTGGTGTCCGGGAGATCCTTGGGTTTTCACCAGGCATTGGGCTTGGATTCGTGGTGGCAGCAGTTACAGCCTTCATCGCTTGAGGCTAGAGACGATTGTTCGAAGTGAGTTCGTCTTTCGTACTCAGTGTGTGACCTGCATTAACTTAACTCGGATGGCAAACCTGCAGAGTTTCCAGGAATTGGAAAGGTCCCGCCTCTTACCAAGAGGAGCAATCGTAACTTAGGCCGGTCGCAGTGCTAATTGGAAGGTGACCAGAACATCTAAAATATCGGTGATGGCCAGGCACTAAGCATAAGAATAAAGACTTATGCTTAAGCCGTAATTTTTAAGCCTTAAGTTTTAAGCATAAAACTTAAGACTTAATACTTAAGCATAAGACTTAAGGCTTAAGAATAAGACTTAAGCATAAGTCTTAATTCTTAAGCTTGATTCTTATGCTTAAGCATAAGACTTACGGCCACGAAACCCTAAGATGTAGGGTTCTCATACTGATTATTAGGTCTTAATTCAGCTGAAAGACTTTCTGTCTTTCCCTCGACAATAAATCCATTGGCGGTAAGATCACAAGCGCCAGAACATAGCCTTAAAGTTTAACGTGCGAGATTTTCCTATACAGGTATACCTACACGGACCCAGTGGTAATGCTTGCCATCAATGGTCCAACCCAGTGATCCGGATGAAGATTCACGGGCCCCGGTTCCTTTTGGTACCGTTTATACTCTAGCTGGTTAAAGTCTTAGACGAATTATTTCACGAATTATCGGCCAGGAGGAAATTGGTCCCTCAAATCTGTCGCTGGCTCCAAGACTATATAGGCTAACGCTATTCTATGAGCAGAGAGAAGTCCATCAGAAATGTCGCGGTTCTTTATGACCGAAACCCATACAAGGGCATTCCGGATAGTTTACATACAAATTCCGGATTATTCTAAACTCATTTCGAATTAAGTTTTTTGATAGAACTAAATTCAGAATGTTTTCGACTAGTTGTGGATTGATTTTAATTCCGGACTGATTTCGAATTGGTCTTTTAATCCGGACTGATCACTGACTAATAGTGATCATTTTCGGTTTGGACAAATCCCAGTCTGAAATTTCTATACAAAATTTTTTCCTCCGCAAAACGTATTATATTTGTTTTTTCAATGGATAGAAGAAAAACTATCTGTTCAATATCAATAACTTTTATTTACAGGATGGAAGCAATAACAATGGTTATGTTCCATATGTTGATTACACGCGAGATTATTTGCCGCCTGCTTCTCAAGGCATTGGTTCCTCACGAGAATCTCTTAGTCGTATTCCTGTGAGTGGAATTTTAGGATCCAAAAAAATTGGATTCAGTTCTACTAATTTGGAAACGACTTCACCACAGGCGACAATAATTGATCCTCGTTATTCTGCAGCCTACGGTAATCCCTATCTAAGGTCAGTATTTATAGTTATTATGTTTATAGTTTATAAAAGACATGAAATACTTTTTTTAGATATTTTAATTTATTTAAACCTTGCCATAAATTACAATGAGAGATTTATTTTTTACGGAGTCTTACCTCACGCGATGGTAAATAGAAAAAACTAAGAAAATTATTTTTAATCAAACGAAGATATTTTCTAATGAAAGTTTTCAAGATAGTAGTTATGGGTGATTCTCTCAAAAAGAACAAATTATTTGTGCACAATTTTGGACGAGGTTTTTGTTAAAAAATAATAACATTAATTTCAATTAATAAACATTCTCCCAGCCATACGATAAAATTCAACAAATTTTTATGGGATCACTAAAGAAAATTTCAAAAAAATGGCAAACAACTGAATTATTGAATGAAAACTAGTGTTAAAACTCCATTCCGTAACATCAGTTTTTATTCAATATTTCAGTTATTTTACCTTTTTTTAAAATTTTCTTTAGTGGTCCGATTGAAAATTGTTAAATCCTAACGTATGGCTGACAGAATTTTAAATAATTTCAATTAATTTTTATATTTTTTAACAAAATATCTTAAAAGCGTAATTTGTCCTTTTTGAGAGAATCACCCTTATATTTTTCGTAAATTTTTAAATTAATTTAAATGATATACTATAAAAGTATCCTTATGTCAATTACAGTTGGAACGAATATTTTACGTAGTTTCGTATATTAAATAGAAAATACAAAGCATAGAATTAAAGTCATAGAAACCACAAATTGTTTGAAATTTTCTATCCCATAAATCATTTAAATAAAATATCGAAAAAGAAAAATATTATATTATAAAAAAAACATCGAATTAATCAGAAGTTATTTAAATATAAATAATTTGATTCAATCTAATACATTTTTAAATATAACTATTTTTAATTATGTGATACCTTTTATGAACAGGACTCCAGTTGCAGAACAATTTAGGCATGCTCCTCATGCAGCCATACCTGGAGTTACGCCAGCTCCTCCGCCATATACGTCAGCAATGAGGATGAATTGTTTAAATACATTAAACGGGGCTGGTCCACAGGTCAGTTATAATTGTTTATTTAAAAATTAAAAGATTAAATACTGGATTTCTAATGCAGTTTTAAGTCTATTTTTAATCTTGATATTTTGTTACTGACTGAAAAATTTATATATTAAAAAATCGTTTAGAGAATTCTTCAGACTATCAATGTGAACTTCTCTATTGAATTACGCAGTGAATTAAATATTTTTATATATTTGGGTGTTTTTGCCGATTGGATTTCAGCTATTCTTTCGGAACTGACTGGAAAGAAAATTCAGCAATACGAACTATTCTGAATATTATTTTTTTTGGAACAGTTTCATATAGACTCTTTACATTAAACAATTTTAAAGTTTCCTGCTAACAATGAAGACTTATCCTTCACGCTGAATTGACTTTGTAAAATTTCTTTAATGAACAATTCTATATCCCAGATAGTGTTTCAAAAATTTTTTTAATTTAGCTTTAGGATGCCTGGCTTATTATTTTACTGATTCTTACAGTTGAAATTGTTTCTCGAGGAAAGACATCAGTTTAATCGATAGACTATTCTTGAGAATTATCGATTTCTCTGGTTGAATGATAAAGAGCAACATTCCCTTATCTAAAAGCGATTACTAACTTATCCTTAACTTTTAATTCAAAAGATGTTGTCATTTTAAAAAATAATACGAAAAATTAATTTTTTTTAAAAATGTTATCTAAATTTTAGCCGGTTCAGTAAGAAATTTTTTCGCTGCTGCAAGATTTGAAAAGCGTTTAGTAGGATATATTTTTAATATTAATTACTTACCCTGGCGCGGATATAACAAACTACGAATGTAAGACGAATTAGTCTCTCATTTGCAGTGAGTGTAAATAATGTGGAAAATGAATGGAAATTGCTGAAAACTACTGTTGAATTGAATAAGTGAAGTGTAAGACTTATTATTTTTAATAGTGAAAAGTATTTAAATTGAATAAAAACTGAAAAATTATTTTACAAATATTTAAAGAATGTAATTTTAATATTACCGATTAATATTGGTCCGTATTTTACATATAAAACATAAATTTAATATTAAATTATCATTTTCTTTTGAAATAGAAGGTGACATTATCGATAAAACGATTGTCCGCATTTTACACGCTAGATGGTAGTCTAATTGTTTTCCTTGTTGCCTAATTTGAAAATAAAGAATAAAATAATACTATTTATTTAGTATTTCAATTAAATAATTGTTATCAATATCGTTTTTAAATATTATAGGTCTTTATTTTCAAATTAATATTTGAAAACAAACAAGGAAAACAATTAGACTGCCATCTAGCGTGTAAAACGCGCGGCAATCGTTTTCTCGACAATGTCACTTTTCTATTTCAAAACAAAATGATAATTTAATATTAAATTTATGTTTTACACATTAAATACGGACCAATACAAATTGATAACATTAAAATTATATTCTTTAAATATTTGTAAAATAATTTTTTCATAGTCTTTATTCAATTTAAACACTTTTTCATTTTTATAAATAATAAAAGGTCTGACACTGTTATAAACTCACTGACAAACAGCAGAGTAATTTTCATCAATTTTCCACATTATTTCCACTCCTTACGTAAATCTCACATTCGTCGTTTGCGATCCCCAGAGTTAATTAATAGAAACTTTCCTCTATTTCCTCATAAGAAATACTTGTATAAAAAAAGTGTCATTTTTTTTAGTTTTAACGAAAAAGACTCAGAAGTTTATGAGGTTTCGAAAAATGTTTCAATTTGAAGGAATTGTTGGATATTATTTTTATTTTTTGAAAATAAAAATATTTTGTTTTAGGCTCCTCTTGCTGCACATTATATCACAGGTGGATCGAATGGAGGCATCACAACTGTGAAACGTTCTTCAGCAGTAACCACTCTAGCAACTCACGTATGAGACAGGAGAATTGATTTCACTTAGAATCAATAATCAACCATTCCGTTCTACGTCAAGATAATTAATTCGCTTATTTTCAAAATTTGCGAAATGTCTTTACAAAATCACTTATTATAAATAATAATAAGTGTAGCACAATGTGTATCTTCATATCATAAAATATTTCAATCAGTCGTCTCACTTCACATATTTTCTTAAAAAAAAGTGATCTTAAAGATCGTGAATACTGTTACTTGTAAAAAGGTTAAGAATCTAGTCGTTCGTGAAACAAATTTATTTTCTCCAATGCATTCACTGTGAATGTTGATGAGAAATTCTATCCTCCAAATTTCTTGAAGTGAATTTTTCACTCTTCTTCATGTAGAAAATGAGTGAATAAAAAATAAATCACTTTTTACTTCAATTGATGTGAAAATGAATGAAATCTCACACTTTTAATGTATCTCTCATTGGAATAGTTCCACTTTACTGAAAGAATAAAAATTCACTTCACGAAAATGAGAAAAATATAGCAAATTTTCTGTTTTTGAAATTTTTATACAACTAACCAAAATTATAAAAAAAAAAAAAAAATTTTTTGTAAAGTAATGGTACCACTAACTTTGCGCTTATTGCTACCCAAAGAGAAATTTTCTTACATTTTTTAAACTCATTTCATAAAGCATAACTAATTCGTCCTTGACTGTTAATATAAGAAAGACAATTTTATCTTAAACTTAAAAAAAAATAAAATAAACTTCCGTGTTTTTCTAAGTTTGCAGAAAAACAGAAGGTACTTATAGCTCAAATTAAAAATGATCTCTTAATTTTAATTTACTTCTGGTTTGTAAAGTGCAATATTTGTTTTGTTTTTTTTTTTTATAAGAAAAAAACCGCCATTTACCTTATTAGACTTTGGAAGAATTTTTTTTTTTATTGTTATGGACTTTTTTCTATGCGGAAAAACAGGATTTTATTACGTTGCAATTTTTTTCTTACTATTTTTGTTGTGATTCAAATATTTCAAGCGTTTTATAATTATAATTTCTATTTTACTTTGATTAAATTATTATAAAAGCTTTAATAATTAAGTTACAATTAATTTTTTAAAACATTTTTAAAACATAACTAACACATTTGATTACATTCTTTGTATGAAGTTTATTCCTTAGGATACGAATTTCTGTTGAAAACATTTTTTTAAAAAAGATTAAAAATGAATGTCACATTGTAGTGAAATTACAACAAAATTTTGGATAAAATTTAAATACTTAAAAGTATTTTTTTTATAAACATTACTGAAGTTTTAGGAAAACTCAATAAAAATTGTCAAACTTAAAAATGTTCAATTTCGATTAAATTTCTATAATAAAATTAAATGAAATAAATAACTAAAGTTATTAAAGTTTTTAGAAATGTTTTTTACATTGATTCGTAACCTATGGAAATTGAAGTATTATATTAAAACTTGTTTAATTTGTTAAAGTTCAATTTTACATCTTTTTACAAAGATAGAAAGTATTCTGTTCTTTTTAATTTTATTCTTAATTTTATTTTAAAAATTTTTTAAATGTTTGTATCAAACGTTTAAGAAATGTGTTAAATGGTATTTAATTAAAATTGAAAATTTGTATATAAAAAGTTGTATTAATTTAAAAAATTCAATTTGTTTCGTTTTTTTTTAGAAAAGTTCGTTGATTAAAATCAAATATCGTTAAATTTGCGCAATAATGACATTTTATGGATTTTTTTTGTTTATATTCATTCTATGTTGATTTTGATTCGAACGTGCAATAAATGTAATCTTTTGAGGTTTGTGGATTCACTATTTTGAATTTTTTTTTTATTAGTATTAGGACAACAACATTCTTTTTAATTGAGTCTTGTCCAAATCAGAGATCACAAAAAGCAAACTTCTTTAGACATCTGTAGAATACTAAAGATAATCTTTATAGTAAGAGTGGTGAAAAGAAGCCCATGAAATAAAATGTCAAATTTGACCTATATTATGACGCGAATATTAAAAATTCGAAGTATTTTAAAAACTGTATGTTTTCGACATAAAAGTAAAGTATATTTTATTACATTTTAGTTATTTCTTTTAAAGATACTAAAAAAACAGTATTGACAATCTTCTGCTTATCTAATAACGTTGTATAAAAAAAATTAAAGTTTAAGTCAATAAACGGTTGATAATTAAAATTATAAATAATTACTACGTTTACACGGCATAATTAAGCTTAATTATGCCATGAAAATTCAGTAAATAAAAGCTATGGGCTTCTTCAACTATATATAGATAGACGTTGTACAAGACCATTCTGTTAGTTAGCAACTTCGCGATTCTAAATTGTACATATATTTTATAAAATATACATTTTCATCCATGCACATAAATATTATTAAAAGAGCATTATTAGACTGTTTTCAAATATAAAATCTAATATTTGTACTCAATCAACGTGTTGGTATAGTATTTAAGAGAGTAGCCAATGTTTCTGCCTTACATTGAAATTCTCACAATTATTTTTCAATAATTTTCATTTTAAAAATAAGGTTTTGAAACCTTTTTTATTTTACTTTTTTTTTGCATAAATGTAATTTAAAAAAAAACTGATTATAGTTTCTACTTTTTACCGTGTTTTAGAAAAATAAAAATTCTTTTGTAAGAATTTTTATTATATTTTTTCGTTCATAACAAATAAATGGAAATGATGCAATCACTGCAAAACATACTCGCATTAAAATTGAAATAACTCCTGTAAAAATGAAAGTAGAGACTTTTTATATAAAATGCAGATCTTCTTTATTTCAATTATTTAACAAATTTTTAACTAAAATTTTTCTCTAAATTAATTATTTCTTAATAATTTTAATGAAATTCTTCACAAATTCAATTACTTTAAATTATTTTTCTATTAAAAATTTTATGAAATTCAACAATTCTTTACAATTAAAAAAAAATCAAATAAAATTACCAAAAAATTCAATTTAAAACCTTTTAAAATTTAATTATTTTTAAAATTTTTCATCTAAAACTTTTTGAAATTTAATATTTCAATTATAACTCTTCCGAAATTTAATTATTTTCAACGATTTTTATAATATTCTTCGAAAAATCAATTATCTGAAAGGATATTTCACTTAAAAAATTTTTAATTTCAATTTTTTTCTTAAATTTTTAACAAATTCTTCATCAACAGAAATTACTAAAAAATTTCAATTCAAAAGCACTTGAATTCAATTATTTTCAAAATTTTCAATTTAAAATCTTCTAAGATTTAATTATTTCTAAAAATGTCAACTGTAGCTCTTCCAAAATATAATGATTTTAAATTTATTTAAATATGATTTAAATTGACTTTTATAATATTCTTCAAACATTCAATTATTTGAAAGCATTTTTCAATTAAAAAATTTGAAATTCAAATTTTTGTTTGTAATTTCTAATAAATTCTTCATCACCAAAAATTTCAATTAAAAATTACTTGAAGTTCAATTAATTTCAAAAATCTGAATTGTAAAATTCAATTACTTTTAAAAAATGTTATCTAAAATTATTTGATAAATTATTTTCAATTTTGTAAAATTTTATTATTGTCTAAAATTTAAAAAAATTATTTGAAATTTAATTATTTTTAAAAGTTCAATTATTTTTAATAGTTTTAATATTTCTTTAAAAATTCAATTATTTAAAAATGTTTTATATAAAAACTCTAAAATTGAATAGTTGTCAGAATTTTTTTTTAGAAATGTGTTCTACTTAACTAAAATTTAAAAAATTTACGTCCTTGATTTTGAAATATTCGAAATAAATTTTCTTGATAATATTCCTGTAGAATTATTCTTATTAAGAAATTAATAAAATGGATTTAATATCTAATAACATTAATTATTTAAAGATGTATCGATACATTTTTTATGCTAAAATCACAATTTGTTGTAAATTAGGGTAAACTAAAAATAATTTTTACAACCTCCAACATCATTAAGACATATTTTTTAGAGATGATTTTTTTCGAAATTTAATATTCCAACGCATTAAAGAAAAAGTCTCTACGTTTATTTTTGTAGGATTTATCTTTTCATACATTTTTTTTCTTTATAAAATAAAAAATATTATTTCACATTAAATTTCAGTGTAAAGCACAAAAGTCGGTTAATTCCTTAAGTCAATAATTATATAGACAAATGTATAATATGATGAATAATAGGAGAAGTAAATTTTACTTTTTTTCGATGTGATGTATATCAGTAGTGAAACAAGTTTAATTAAACAGATATTCAGTATTCTCTTTATTAGAAAGCTGATTAGAATACATTTGAAAAGAATATTATAGACATATTTCAAATTTAATTATTTCAAAAAAATTATTCCTAAGAATAAAGTAATAAATGTAAATAATTGGATCAATTGAATTTATTGTTACAATTAAAAATTTGTGTAAATGTTTTACTATAATTTTAGAAAGTGCACCAATGGGAATTGCTTACGTTTTATGTTGTATATTGATAAATTTGTCTCTTCTCCAATGTTCTAATGTTACATTACAATATGTAAATATTAATCTAAATTTTCTGATTTTGCAAATAATTTCATTATTATTATGTTCTCTAAAAATACCCTATTCATATATATATATATATAAATATATATAGCAAAGAAAAAATTTGAAATATGTTTCCACTTGGCCTGAACTATTTGTGTGATAAGAGGATGTTTTCCATTTAATAGAAATGCAACGTGTGAATTGTAATATACATTGTTAATAATTAAGCATAAATCAGTTGTCAATATGATATTAGAGCCTATAGACTTATGGCACTAATTCAATAATTTTTATTATTGTATAAGCAGTTCGTTCTTCGATGCGCGAATCTCACTTGAAATATTGTAAATACTTTTAAAGAGCGTGTAGTTGAATAAATTATGATCTTATGTATTTTTTTTACCGTGCGTTCAAACAAATATCGAGTATTTGTCTCTCGTCACAGCTCAGGCATAAACGCTACCTATAGTTAAATAAATAACAGTGACAAATACTGTTAAAAAAAATACTCAAAAAAAAATAAATAAGTGATTTTTTGTACACATACTTCGAAAATTAGATTCTGTGAAGTAATTATGCAGAATTTATGACAATGCCTAACTAATGATGTAGCCTGATTATCACACTGTTATGAGTAGTAATTATTTAACTATTTTTCTTTTTTACTTTCATAATTGATATTTCAATATTATACTAAGATATGTAATTCAAAAAATACTCAAATCATAGCTTTTGAAACTTACATTTTAAGTAGGAATTGATATTTATTCAAATTTTTGTTTATGAGTTTTTAATTATTTAAACTTTCATGTTTAATGGGTTTAAGTAATTTCTATTTCAAATTGTTTTGATTTTAAATAAAAAATTTTTTTGTTGTAAAATCTTTTAAACAATTTTTTTAACAATTTTAATCTTAATCTTTAAACCTTTTTAGAGTATATGATAAAATATAACTATCCTTTTTAATAGTGTTTTAATAATCATGCAACGATCATTAATTAGTTACCTGAATGCGTATTTTAATAATCTATGTCTTATATGACAAGATTAATTTCGCTCAAACATAACAAAACTGCATGGTTACAAAAGTAACATTGATTGTATTATTAAGCCCAAACATCACGCACCATGTACTCAAGTAGTGTAAAATTTTTCAAATTTTAGTTATTCGGTATCGTTTAAAAAAAATAATTAATATCAAATTTTTGAAAAGCGAAATGAATTTTTTTTCGCATAATATATACTAATTTTAAATTTTGTGCCAAATTTATAATTGGCTAAAAAAATAAATAACAAAGAAAGTCAGTTTTTAAAAAAAACTTCTGCTTCATG